AATTCTTTTACAAAATGGCCGCCAGTCGGCCATTTCGAACTTAATCCGAAAAAAAAAAATGACATGCATCAAGGTCCTATTATATTTAATGTATATACCAAATTTGAACGAAATCCGTCCATGCATAACTGAGATCCGGGTCCGGAATGGTGAAAATGTGCGATTTCAATGCATTTTCGGCCTTAAAGCGGCCGCCATTTGGCTATCGTTAATGAGATCATGAAACAAATGCACATACATATTTGTGACATGATGTACCTTGTGTGTGTGAAGTTTGAACTCGATCAATCCAAGCATGTCTCAGATACGGATCCAGAACTGAATTCTTTAAAACAAAATGGCCGCCAGTCGGCCATTTCAGACCCGATCCAAAAAAAAAATGACGTGCATCAAGGTCCTATTATGTTTAATGTATGTACCAAATTTGAACAAAATACGTCCATGCATAACTGAGATCCGGGTCCGGAATGGTGAAAATGTACAATTTTGATGCATTTTCGGCCTTAAAATGGCCGCTATTCGGTTATCGTTAATCGGATCATGAAAAAAATGCATGTGCATATGTCCCATATAATGTGTGATGTATGAGTGAAGTTTGAACTTAATCGGTCCATGCATGTTCGAGATACAGGTGATTACGGACGCATGCACGGACGAACACAGGGCAAAACATAAGTCCCCGTTTTCGGACTATGTCCGAACGGGGACTAAATATAGGGATGGGCTTCATACTCGGGAGGGGCTTACGATCGGGGAAGTACGGTACTTTAACATAATTGGTCTTTCACTCTCAGAAAACTGTGATTCAAACACATGATGTTCAACCCAAGTTATAAAAAGCACACTGTGCATATAAAAGTTGAGTTTGTACTAGTAGTACACAATGCTTGGCAGCATGAACGGCTATGTACAATGGCGTATACGAATGCGATCAGATACTAAAACGTCATAGCTTTGAAAAGTACCCGGATGTTAAATATGTTCGTTCATTATTTATTCCCTTCCATGAATGGCCTCCATGGTGTTTAATTGCAAGCACTTCAAATGCCTATCCAAGCTACAGTTATAATTAAAACAAAATTAAACCACAGCAATGTTATTTCGAATACAGTTTAGAATATACACAACTATATATATGGCCGCATTTAGGTTCACTTTAATACATACAAATAAGATATCAGTTTACTGTGTTACTCACTTCAGTGTTTTCTGTCTATCTGGATGTTTCTGTATAACTTTAGCTAATGCATCATATTCTTGTCGATTCTTCCTCACACGCTTGGCATGTTGCAACTCAGATTTACTTGAGGAAATAGTATGATGTGCGTCACTGATTGCTTTTTCTGTAAATTGAAACAATATTATACTATAATCAGTTAAACAATTTTTCTTCTTAATTTGTCTCTTTTCAAATTAAAATGGAGAGATGGAAGATGCACATTGTCATGTTTCTTGGCCATTTTTGTGATGTCATGTATACAGTTTACTTTAATTAACATAATGGTAGTAGTCGGCACATTACTTACCAATATCTTTATAAATTTGTTCATATTTTGCCATCTCTCTAAGATTCATATCATACACCATTTTTGTTTTCTCCATAGAGAATTCACACTGGGTCAAAGTGGACAACATCCTCTGATACGTGGCAGTACTGAATGAAAGAGACTATGTAAAACATTATATATATACCTGACAGACATACACTTTAAAAATGCTGGAAATATATTTATATGCTTCTCATACCAAATACCAGATCACACTCGGTAATGAATTCTTACTGTAACAATACTACATGTACATGTAGTATAAATTCTTGGTTTGCTAAGGTGTAAAAATACATGAAGGTGTAAAAACATGTTTTATCTTTTCATGAGTTATTGTTCTTCTTGAAGATTTATCTTGGAGGAAAATTTTAACATAGGCATATTAAAATTTTATTGACAGACAAGTGTACAAAGGTGGTATATTTAGTTGATGTACTGGGGAATGCATTTTTTCACCAACTCAATGCAATCACGCTGTGTTTTTATGCCAATCACAATTAGAGACATTTTTTAATTTATTCATTTAAAAACAGATTAACATCACATTCATCTGTTCTAACCAAAACACAAAGATGGCTACCCAGAGATAAGCAAAGCAACACTTGTAGTACTAACCATTCTTCATCTGTTCCACTAGAGTGACACCACTTTATAAAAGTCTTCAATAAATTACTTATTCTTCTGTCATCTCCGCCTCCATCACCATCAAAAAGCAACCTTTTACGAATTATTGTTTCATCTGCGTATTAAAAATAATTGGTATGTAGTACACACAAACTTGACTTGCATGGCATCTGCATGCCCTCAAAACGTACAGATCAACATGCACACAACAATATTATGGCTTCTGCATGCCTGCACAACTCGCCTCAGACACATTTTTGGACGCTTTTGAGGCACCCGTAAATAAATGCACTTAAAATATGTGAACTTTGTTATGACTGACCGATGTAAATCTGAATTGGAAATACAAGTACCCTCATTGGCCCGGCATCATGTTTTTGTGTGTCATAGTCACGATAGAAAAACTTTCCATTGTACCACACCCATAATCCTAACTCTAACCGTACCCCCATCACCCTCAAAATAGTAAATGCCC